TTTTTGCTGTGTACTGACCCATATGGTTGTTAAATAAAAATAATTGTGGCCCAAATTAATATATAGATTTACAAATCAAAAAACCTGTAAAAAATTGATCATCATCTTGATTGCCGGAAAAATCCTGTGATTTATGTCGGGAGAGTACTATACGCTGGCATTATAATGATCTTTAGAATGAGTATACATGTGATGCAAAAATAGTTTTAGGCGACACAAAGGTTATTTTTCGTTTTGCATTACACGGCATTCGAAATTTCGATCGGACGGTCGGATTTTTTTGTTAATCCAAATAAGTTTTGATTTCTACGGCTTTTTTGAAGATGATTTCATGTTCTTTAATTAACTTTCGAATCTGCTAAAACATAAGATATTATAAAACATGTTGAGTCAGTGTTGTTAAATTTGCATGGTCATTTGCCTTTTTGAAATGATTTTTGTTAAGTCATTTGAGTCATTTGAAATTTATTATAAAATTTCATATATTAAAAGTCATTTTCAGGTCATTTAAAAATCATTTACGACTATTTTTAGGTCATTTAACAACACTGCGTTGAGTTTAAACTTATCAGTAACTTATCAGGTACAAAAATGACTTGTAACTGTAATAGTTATGTACTAATCCGTTATCCATTTTAAAATTTGAAAATTAGTATTAATAATAGACTTTCAAAACCTGGATTCCTTCCCGAAATAATACAAAATTTCAATTTGGAATACTAATCGAATGATTATCGTTACGTCAAAAGTTTCTATTAATATGCAATTAGACAAGACATTCCTAGAATAGACGCAGTAGTTATATATTTGTCATAGGCCTAATTATATGTAGCTTTAAAAAAATACTTGTACATGGTGTCCACGCTAAATTTGTAAACCTTTAAGTCTAATGTTAACCTGAAACTTCACTGCAAATGGTCATGGACATGCAAAAATATCGTCAAACTCAAAAATTTGGAAAATCATTTATTTTCAAAAATGGATACCTTTTGTAATTATTCAATGCCACTTAAAAACTTTGGAGTTTGAGACACAATATATATTAAATTGGAATTTATATACTTTTGATTTAAAACTTGAAATGAACAGCGATAACAAAATCCAATCGGGAAACATTAAGAGAGTTTGCTTTATTAGACTAAACGAAGAACATTTGTTTTTTTCTGACCTGCAACATAAATCTATGATATATAACTCTTAGATTTTGAATCCTCACACACTTAAGTCAAGATTTTTTACATATTTATTTTCCAACATATGAAAATTATGAAGAATATTAATGATCTGTCGATTCAAAGATTATCACATAACGAAAGTTGGAAAATTTATTTAAAAGCCCAAAAGCGTCATGTTAGTAATACATTTTTCAACATAAAAGAAATTAAACAATTTGTACAAGATACCCTAAAAAAGTGCGATTCGAGTCAAAATTTAATTCAAAGTTATTCAAATGAACCAAAAAAAGTATCCTATGAGAAGTCATACATTTGGATTATAAATACTTTTCCAAATTGGGATTATGAAAATCATCATAGAACAACTTTAAAAGCAGTGTTTGGTGATGAGTCAACTACGAAAAAGTTAGAGTTTTGAGCACCTACTGACAAAGTAGTTGAATTTTAGAAAATAAAGTACTCGAAAATGGAGATATTATATTTGCTTGCTCTGATTGCATACGAATTTATACAGTAAATGCTGAAAAAAAAACAATTAGTTTGGTTTATGAATGGAGTGATGTAAAGAAAAAAGAAACAGAAACTGCTCAGCAATCAATTAAGAAAAGTCTTACTACCTTTATTGAAAAGATTGATAAATCGCATTTTAAATATTTACCATACCCAATTTGGCAGGATGATTATATAAATAATAAATTGGCAGTAAAATTATATGGAAAAGATATGTTCTGTCAACTAGCTCAATATAAACAGAAAGAGGATATTGAGGAATTATTTGCTAACTGTTTTAAATATAGTTTTTTAATGTTTAAGATGGTGATATTTACGACTTTATGATGTTTACAAGTCAAATTGCTTCTGCACTGATAAAATTAGAAGAATTTAATAAAAATTTAAAAGTTACTGAAAGATTTTTATCTAAAATTAATTTACTAATTCCTGAAAACTATAATAAATCCTATAATAAAGCTATAGATAATTATTCTACATTATCTCATTTTCAACATCGTGGAATCTATGATCATTCGCCCTTAACTGCTGTTTCTTCATTTGATTACTTGCTTTTTTGGATTTCTGAACAATGGGATCTTTTAAAAAATAAATATCCGAAAATTTATAAAGTTTTAAAATCTCCTTATTTGCTTTATTCATTTTATTTTACTAAGTATTCTCAAAAAACTGTATACTTAATGATTCCTTTATTGAATTTTGCTACATATTCTAAAGAATATTCTTATTTTGAATTATTTTATTTACCTGATATTCCCTCTACTTCGCTTGATGCACCTGATTATTACAAGTGGTGGAATATTAAAGCTCTTATTAAATTCAAATGGAACACCTATGGAAGACGATATTATTATATAATTTGGACAATCTATTCAATTTTCATGTGCTGTTTTTTAATAGTTTCAACAATTCCAGAAAATACAATTTCTTGGAATGATCAAGCAATTCTTTTGATAGCAACTATTTTTTTTGGATTTGTTCATCTTATTTTTGAAGCCCGTCAATGTATTCATAAACCAATATTTTATATTGCTAGTCCTTGGAATTGGTTTGGTATATATATCTAATTTAATAATTCGATATTATGTATTATAGTATTAATTTATTTTACTATAATAGATCTTGCTGCAATACTAGTTCCAACAATAACTTCATTTGTATGGTTACATGATGAAAAACCACATATTTGGATTGTGACTATTTCTTCTTTTTTACTTGAAATTAGATTTTTATTCTTTTTCCGTGCTTTGGAATATTTTGGAAAATATTTTGCAATTATAATTGGAGTAGCACAACAAATATTTTCATTTCTTGTTGTTTTGGGTATTATGGTTTTAGCTTTGCCCATTCTTTACATCTTTTATTAAGACCTACTAGTGAATATTCTTATGATCAGCCAAGTAATACTGACGATGCTAATAATCCTTGGAATCTTGCTCAAAAATATAAGTTTATTTCATCTAATGGCACTATTGAAGAATCAACACTTATTGAAGCACCTGATGAAAATACAAATTTATTTACGATGTTTAGTACTTCTATTTTAGCAGTATATTTTATGCTAACAGGTATCATTTATTAATAATTTGAAAAAATTTTGTATCAAAAGAAAAATAATAATGATTTTGTTTTTAGGCGATACAAGTGCAGTTACTTCATGGGGTTTAGTCAAGAATTGGACTTTAACATTTTTATTAGTTATATTTTCATTTTTTACAACAATCTATTTATTGAATCTGTTTACTTCATTACTTGGAAATGCTATTAATGAAACATTTAATGAAGAATCTTTCTTGCAATTAAGAGGAGAGGTAAAAATTTTTGTTTATATTTATAAATCTATTATGAATTATAAGTCAAAAGTCAAAAAAAAAATTAAAATAATTATTATTATTACTAGATATTATCTGAAATCGAACTTTTTTGGATGTTACCTCATCAAAGAAGAAAGGAAAATTGGTTTCCAGAAATTTTGTAATTAAGTATTTTGATTTATTTATGTTGCAAATATTATATATATGCTAATATATAGTTTTAATTATTAGATATTATGATGCTTCAATTCATGAACTTAGAAAATATGTAAAAAATCTTAAAGATGAACAAAATGAAGAAATTTTACAAGATTTACTTCCTGAAATCCAAAAAATCGTTGAAGCCAAAGACTCAACCGAAGATTCAACCGAAGACTCA